GAGCTCCTGCTCAGAGCTCCACAGCCTGGCCAAGGGTGCTGGCATCTTCCCACAGGACAAATCTCAGCAGAAAGTATCTGGAAAAGCAGCACCAGTGATGGCATGCTGGGAATGAGACACCACCCCCACACTTTACTCTTTAGGCAAGAGTGAACAGCGCAATGGGGAAAGACTAGAGGGGGCTCTTCCCACCCTTCGCTACTGTTCACATGTCCCACCTCCTCACAAAAACCTGTGCAGGACCCTGAGCCCCTGTCAGCAGTGCTGCCAAGGGAGCTGTGCCCACGGAGCGCTGCCCCTTGCCCTGGCACCAAGCAGAGGAGACCACCAGCATAGGGGGCAGCCAGCCCTTGCACTGGCGAACAAGCCCAGGGCATGTTCATGGCTCCTGTGTCTTCCACACCAGGGAGCGTGTGAAGTGTCCGAGTGAGGACTGAAGGAGTGGGAACAACTTTTAGCACCTGTGATGCTGCTTACCTTGCCTGTGGGTGTGTGTGGTTACGGTGCAGCCGGTCCCTCCGCAGTCACTCCAGGAGCAAAATCTGCAATACGTGAGGGATGCTGCTGACAGAAAAAAACACTCTACACCACACCATATCTCTGGAGGTAAGGGACAAAAACCATCCCAATAAAGCTCCTGGAAGGGGTATTATGGAATCACAGAATGCGTTGGGTTGGAAGGCACCTTTAAAAGTCATCTAGTCCAACCACCCTGCAGTGAGCACGGTAAACAGTCCCCCCCCAGCTTTCCTGTAGGCCTCTTCAGTTGCTGCAAGGCTGCTCTAAGGTCTCCCCGGAGCCTTCTCCAGGCTGAACAACCTCAACTCTCTCAGCCTGTCTTCATAAGGAAGGTTCTCCAGCCCCCTGATAAACTTCGTGGCCTCCTCTGGACCCATCAGAGCAGATCCATGTCTTCCTTATGTTGGGGGCCTCAGAGCTGAACACAGCACTGCAGGTGGGGTATCACAAGAGCAGAACAGAAGGGAAGAATCAGCTCACTTGCCCTGCTGGCCACGCTTATTTTGATGCAGTCCAGGATGCGATTGGCCTTCTAGGCTGAGAGTGTGCATTGTTGGCTCGTGTCCAGCTCTTTGCCCAGCTATACCCCCAAGACCTTTTCAACGGGGCTGTTCTCTATCACATTATCTCCCAGCCTGTACTGATACTGGGGATTTCTCCAACCCTGGTGCAGGACCTTACACTTGGCCTTGTTGAATCTCATGAGGTTCACACAGGCCCACTTCTCCAGCTTGTCCAGGTCCCTCTGGCATGTTGACCACACCAGTCAGCTTGGTGTCATCTGTAACTTGCTGTCTATATCATTCATGAAGATATTAAAGAGTACTGGTCCCATTATGGACCCCTGAGGGACACCACTTGTCACTCTACCTGTACATCAAGCCATTGACCACTACCCTCTGGAGGTAACCATCCAGCCAATTCTTTATTCACCAAACAGTCCACCCATCAGGTGAGACCAGAGTAGCAGAGAAGCAGATAGACTGTTTTGCTAAGGACCTTCAACCCTACCTCCTGACTGGGAATGCCCAAGCCAAGTCAGATGCTGAGAATACAGCAGATTGTGCCTTCTGTGGCTTGTGCCCCTAAAATGCAACCTGAAAAGCATCTGAAACAGCTTTCACCATGCCTGGGAGGGAAAGGAGTGCTCTCATGATCCTAGTTATGAGACCTGGCAGCCAGAGGACGATTCAAAGCATCTTCAGTTTGCTTTCATAGACACAGCCTGGTCTTTCTTTCCTGGTCTTGTGCATAGTCAACAAGAGAGCAGCTGTTTTGTCAGCTCCCTAGCAAAGCTTTTCAGTTATAATGCCTTATTATTCCACAACATGTGAAATAAAGGTCCCAGGCATAGATAAAGGACTGCAGATGATTCAGCTGATGCTCCAGAACACCTGACACCAGTGATCCTTCTACACAGCCTGAGACCTTCTGAGGGCATGTCTACGTCATATTGCAGGATCGTGATCCTGCCCCATCAACCCCTGAGGATAAAATGAGGATGGGCAAAGAGCAAGAAAAATACAGCTAGGGAGAGAGAAACAGTAGGACTTGAAACATTTTTTACTGAAACTAGGTCTTGGCTGGGTCTCAAGGTTTTTGACATGGCTGTGACTAGCTGCTTTCCTTAGGGAAAGTGGTTGCTTCCCTCTAAAGAGATTGTTAACATTTTATATCACAAAAAAGTCACTCTGTAGTTTATGAAGTAGTGAGCACTGTTGGTTTTTGACAGTTTTCCAAGAGCTGGGTTCTGGAGCAGGGACAGCTGCTGCAGGGCTGGAGGGCATTGCAGCTCCATTCTTACAGGCAGGTTGGCGAAGCTGTCCCTCAAACTCTGCTTCCAACATCCAGGAGATAGGTGCAAGCCCCTTTTCCTGCAGCTTCCCAAGGGAACTGGGCAAGGACACTGTGCTCCTTGTTGGGGTAGCCTCCAGCCAAGGATGAAGGTGACTCGTCCCAGGCTAAGCCTCTCCTGCCCTCCCTGCCCTGCACAGGGACCTGCACCAGGTGCGGAATCCCAGCTCCAGTGCAGACCCACGCCGAGCATCCTCCCCCTCCCCAGGCACATCCTCTCATGGGTCACTGCATGGGCGGCAGGAAAGCTTCTGCCCAGGCAAGTACCAGTTATCCTTCTTTCCCACTCACACTGTTTTTCTTGGCCTCTCTTCCCATACCAGCCTTCCCTCTCTTCTTCCTCCTCCTCAGGATTGTATTGCTGGGGCTGTCAGTAGAGTTAATGAGCTGAGACAGGGCCGGTGCTCTGGGAAAATCACACCAAGAGACAGCCAAGCCCAGGAAACTGAGTGTGCACAGATACATGGAGAAGGACCCCAGTGCAGGGAACATCTGAAAAAGAAACCCTGGGCACCAAGTAAGGGAGCCAGCAAACCAGGGGAGGAAAAGTGCCAGGGTTAAGCTTGCACTTAACAAGTCTCAGCAGGTGCCTGGACCTCCCCTGGCATGGACAGCCCAGACCATCGTGGATGCCAAACCCTGGAGGGTCTGGTGGCCTCTTCCTCTCTGCCTTCAGGAACAATCCCTGGGCCATCTCATATCCAGCGTGTGCCCAGGCTTGCTGGCTGGCACCACTGGCCAGGGACAGTGTAAACAACTTAATTATGTGGGCAGTCAAGTTTAACACCATAGTCTCTGGGAGGAGAGCATGGCTGTTGGCCATGCAAATCACACTTGAACATATTCAGCCCATGCTTCAGCTGAATGGAGCAGCTTTGTTCGAGCATCGCACGGCCTCAGCAAAAAAGCAGATCCCAAAGGGACATGAGGGCACTTTGAAGTAGTGAGACCGTAGTCCCAGTGCACAGACCCAGGAGACCCAAGGCTCAGGAAGAAAATTGCCAGGGACTCTCAACTAACCAGTGATGAGGGGCGGTAGTTGGCAGGCTGCCCTCATGCCTTATTCATGGATGTTCCCAGGAGGAGATTTCGTCACCTGCCTCCATTTCCCCAAAAGTTCTTTCTCCTCACCTGCTCCCCAGATGCTAGCAAGCATCAGACTGCCAGGGCAATCAGTAGACCCAACTGGCCATGCTGTACCTCAGTTTACCTCTACCCCAAGAACAAAACTTCTGTTTCAGGAGCTCTTTATTCAGTTGCCGTGCTCTTGTGGGAACTGAGAGCTGGGGAGCTCCAGCCCAGCAGATGTGCTGGTGGAACTGAAGTGATTTGAGCTGGATTGTGCAACACAATCCAGGCATATTCCTTCCCCACCTCTGCAGTACAACCCGCTAGGGAGCTGCTCCAGCAGCCTGTCTGAGCAGCACAGGGCAGGGCACCCACCTCACCACAGTACTGAGAGATTCTCAGGAGAGACTTGTGGCCAACATGCCGGAGAACATGTCCTTCACCCCTATGAAAGACCCTTCCCCACCCTCTCCTTGCATCCCAGTGCAGCCCCCTTGCCACTGCAGCATTGCAGGTAGCACTGGCTGCATGCCCCATGCTCTATGCTATCCTTCAGGCTCAAATATAAGGCAGGTCACCTACCTGCTGCTTTTTCTTTTTATTTAACATAATCACAGCACAATAAAAAAAAAGAGAGGAAAAAAAAGCAACTTGTTATTGTTTAGTTAAACAGATCTAGCAGCAAATACCTAAGAGCGGCATGAACACTGCTCATGCATCCCTGCGCAGTCAAAAGCATGGGGTAGAGTCTGAGCAGGGTGGCAGGCTGGGGGACTGCCAAGGGGGGCAATATGCCTGAGGAGGGAAGGAGCCAAGGGCAACACTGCCTCCCACTCTGCAGCCATTGCATTACTGGCCCTGTTTCAACCCATACAAGGAAGGACAAGGGGGAAAATGGTGCAGGGAAATCAGGGTATGAGAGAGGAACTGCATCAGCCACGTTCTGCCCAAGGACATCAAGGGTGTGCTCAGTGAGGGAGGAGCACATTGCATGGCTCTTGAGGAAGATCTCCATCCTTGCACTGTTCTATCCTGGTAGCTCTTCCTGGGGATGCAGAAGGACAGGCTTGGGGCTGATGATGGAAACCAAAGGGATCAGGCTAGTGCTGGAGGTCACAGCTGCTGTGCTGAATGAAAGGCTGAAACCCCAAAAATATGTCTTGCAGAGCAGTCCGTCAGCCGGCTTCTGCCCTGCAGAAGTGGTGGAGTCTTTGGCCCAGCAACCCCTGGCTCAGCCTGGGGAGTGGAGACAGAAGGAAGACAAAAGAGCAGGCAGGGCTGTGCCCAGCCGCCTGCACTGGCATGAGTCCCAAGAAGGGCCGGCCCTGCAGCTGGAGGTGGAAGCAGGTTGGCTCCATTATCTTCAGATTCATAGCTGGGAGCCAGCCCCACTCCCAGTGCTGGGGCTGATCATGGGCTTCTTTAGAGACTACTTTCCCTGATGTTTGGCCTGAGGAAGAGAAAAAACTACCTGTGATGAGTACGATCCTCAAGGCAAGAGCCTCCCCAGAATCCCTTCCCCGCGGCTGGGGTGGTCACCAAAGCACTATTTCCCCTGGTCAAGCCGTGGCAATGAAGTACCCATCAAACACGTTGCAAGCTCTTCCCATGAAGATGTACAAGCTGCAAACCCCAAGCTTGCAAAGCAGAAGTGGACAGGGGTTTGTTCTCAGTGCCTTTGCTCTGTCACCTGTCAGGCTCAGCCCAAGCTGGCACCGAGTACAGTGGCTTTTCCAGCCTGGTAGAAGGTGGTGACTGGGTGCAATAGCTGCAGGGCTACTGGTCCCAGTTGGAGCAAAGAGGGATGGAGACTAAGAGAAAGTATCTATGTTGAAGTAAAACGTGTCCCGGCTCTTCCCAGCAGCCCAGTCACACCGGGAAAAGCCTGTCTGGTGGTGGATAAACCCACTCTTGGGCTGTCCCCATTGCCAGCTAAGAACAAGGACAGCTCCTACCTTCCTGGCATCCAGCCTCTCTTGCAGACGAACCGCCCATGGGGACTCTATTGGGGCACATATGGGTTTCCCCTTGATGGTGATGAACCTGCCAGGCCCATGGAGAAAAAAACCCACAAGATGAGGTGAGTGAGAAACCTCGGGGATGCTTCAGCACAGCTCAAGTTCTCACCTGCTACCTCCCTTACTATCCTCCTCCATCTCTACCTTGAGATGACTTTCTTCCCTGACTTTTGTCCCATGTTTTCCCCTCCTTGCTGGCCCTGCTCTGATTGTGGCTCAGATCTCCAGGGTCTCTTCCACAACCTTCCCTATTCCCTTGTCCGCAAACCCAGCTCAACATCCCTCCACCCCCCTGCTCTGCCTTTCTCCCTGTCTCACCAGCCATCACTAGCCATCACCACCCTGGGGCTCTTGACCCTTGGCCATCACCACCCTGGAGCTCTTACACAACAGCCGGGAAGCCACAACCATTCTGCTCCAGCTGGAACTGATAATCCCTCACTCTTCACCGTGGGATGGGCATCTCTGTCCTGAGCAGGCAGCAGTCGTACTTCCCGCTACGTGCTAGAGGAGGAACACATCATGCAGGATGAGGATTCTCTCCCACACCTTCACCCAGCCCCTCGGAAGGGTGTGGGTGCTGTGGGGCCAACCCAGCATAGCTGGGCAGGATGGTGTCTGCCAGTGATGCCCTCACACACAGGCAGGAGCTCTACTGCCCCCAAAACCCAGCATTGGGAGTCCTTTGTCTCTCTCTGACAGAAAGCAGAGATGAGAAACAGCAGATCAGAGGAGGGCAGCCCTTCTGCACACCTGGGACATCCTGCAACCCTGGGGCCAACACCATCAGCAAACAAAAGAGGACAGGAGTTCCAACCTGGTTTTAGGATGCTGCAGTACAAACATCTGTTCTCAAGGGGCTGGGAATACCTCTAGCTTTATTTGCTGAAGCAGTCATAGATTTTGCAGCTACCCCATCACCAGCTCACCTCACATCAATCAAGACTATGACAGCTGAGGAACACAACTGTCTGCACTGCATTGCAGGGCATGGGACCTCAGTCACCTTTCAAGAAAATGCTGTATTTGTTCTTAATTCAAGAAAATGCTATATTTGTTGTTAGTACCATCAATGCCCAGGGATGCCCATAACCCCAGACGGCAAGGTGGGGTGCAGTAGCACAAGGTGTCTGCACTCCCCAGCTCCCTGCAGAAGTGCCAAAGGCTGGTGTCACCTCCCCAGATAGCTGTGGTCTGTGCAAAGCCCATGTTAGACACCATCAGCCCCTCACTTGTGGGCTCTGCCTTACCATATGCCTTCCCTCTCACTACCAGCCCTGCCACTTGACCTCAAGCTGCCCCATGCCAAAGGGTGCAGGGGACGCTTCCCTCATGTGCTGGGTTGAATGGGACCAAGGCGACCCCAGCCCAGTGTGCACAAGCTGGGCCAGGGCACTGGGAGGCAGGATCGCTCCATGGCCTTTCAAAAAAGCAGTTTTCCAGCCCCAGTGCCCCACAGGCTCCTGCCTGGACTTTGAGCAGGGCAGAGTCCCTCTGGGACAGGTTACAAGCACAAGGTGCAGGAGAGCTGCCACAGAGCCCCAGCCATGGGTCCCACTAAAAGTCTGCTGAAAATGCAAAAGAGAGTAAGAAACTGGATTCTTCCTGCAAGAAAGGCAGCCTGAGAGGTTCCATCTTACCATCCAGAATACATCCCAGCACCAGGAGACTGAGACAGAGAAGATGGAGCCTCTGCATTTTGCTGCTGAGTCTGACAGGAGGTGGGCTAGAGGTGACAGTGCTCCAGGCAGGAGAGGTGAGCTCTGCACAGCTTCCCTGCACTCTGCTGCCCGTGCTCCCTGCTGCAGATTTTTCCTTCCAGTCTGTGGCTTTCACTTCCTTTTCCACAAGAGGGGTAGGAAGTTGCAACAAGTCTCACCATAGGCTGATTTTTTTTTCTTTGAGTAGTTCACGAATATCCCAGCATTTTTCCCTGCAGCCAGCTGCTCTGCTGTCCCAGAGCCAAATGCTCTCCTGCCCTCTCTGCTGCTGGCACCTGGGCCCCAGGGTCTGCTGGTGAGAGCCACCCTGTGAAAGCACCCTGGGATCCTGGCCAAGAACATGAGGGTCTAACCCCATACATTTCCCAGTCCCTCCTCTGAGACATCTCTGGGATGTTCCTATTAGATATCACATAGGCTCAATCCACTGATTTTTAGGGGACAACTTGCCTCAGATACATTTTTTGGGTGTATACAGGTACTGCAGTGATGCCTGCCTATCCCTGAGCACCCTTATCTAGTCACAAGAGCTGGGCTGGCTCCCCTGACCCATCATTGTGGGAGTGGGAGGCACATGCAAATCTGACGGATAGAGGGGAACCCAGCCAGCATGCTCTGCTCCAGGACTGTGATCTTCTATGCCAAAAGACAAGCTGGTTTCCAGTTGTCCCAGCAAATAGGATCATGGCCAAAGGCAGCTACAGAGCTTCCTGGAAACAGGTTTTCTCAGCACAAAAGCAGAAATCCCCCACGAAGGCTGTGAGCACAGTGAAGGATGCCAGCAGCTCACCGGCTTGCATAGGCACTGTGAGGAGTGAAGACCAGAGCTCCTACTTACAACCTCACAGGACTGCAGGGACAGGGCCTGTTTCTCCTTGAGGTGGTGACTCACCACCCTGACACTGCCATCTGCAGTGAGGTCCCTTAACCAGCCTGCTTCAGCCCTGATACATGGCATGTGAGATGCTGAGAGCAGTGGGGTTGTGCAGCCCAGGGAAGGGATGATGAAGGGGGTCTCATTGCTGCAAGCTGCCTCATACGGGTTTGGAGAGATGCCAGAGCCAGACTCTTCTTGGACAGGGTGAGAGGCAGCAGCACAGGTTGAGCCCAGGGAAATTCACACTGGTAGCAAGAAAAATATTCTCCCACAGTGGTGAAAAAGTCCTGGAGAAGTGTCTTCATCCCTCCACCCTCTGCCTTTCTCCAGCTTCGGTCTGTCCTGGCACCTCAGTGGTGAGCACTTCACAGCCCTTCCACAGAGACAAATGTCTGCCTGGGGACCTCAGTAGGTCCCTCCACTCCTCTTGGCTGTGAGGAATAGTAAGCTCATCCCCTTCCCTGCTCCACAGTTAGAAGCAAGAGGAGGCTCCAGCTATGCCACCTGCCAAGGTGCTCCATCCCTGCACTGGCACTGGCACCATAAGGAGAGCATCACCTCCAGATACTCCTGTGCCCCAGCAAGCTAAGACTGTGCCAAGGGTGTCAGGCAGGGACTGGTGGGCAGGATGATCCAGCAGGAACAGGATGTACCAGCTTAACTTTAGTCAGCACCTGCCTTCTTCTAGCACTCACAGGTGAAATCTTGGCTGGTGGAATGGGAATTTAGGTGGAGGAGGATTAGTGTTAGTCATCAGCACCAGCCTTCCTGCAGGTTTGGGAATGCAGGTTTGCATCTGGGACCTCGTCTCTACTCAATCTCCTCGGGGCGCTGCCAGAGAGATGCCACAACAAGAAGGATAATGTCTCCTGGCTACTGATATTGGTGGCCAGACCTCTAGAGGCAACTCCTTCTCACACAGAGCTGGCTCGTCCCCAGAGGCTGGCCTGACAGCACAGGGCACCCTGCAAAAAGGGACCCCCAAGAGCGGAGCACTGACCCACCAGTGAGGGGTGCTGGGGATGCTGCCTGACTGCAAACCTTTTCCTCCTTGCACCTTCAGTGTGTTTGGTAGCTACCAAAGCACATCTGAGGATTGGCAAGGGGTGCTGACGGTCCCCCCTCTTAGTCACTGCTTGTATCCTAGTCCTCAGGGCAAGCAGGGAAGGGTCTCCTGACACTTCCCTGGCACAAGGGGCTCCTACTTACTGCTGGCCACACACTGGAAGCAGCACATCCAGTGCTGGGAATACATCCTTCTGGGATGCAGGGGACCCCAGTCCCTGTTACCCACAGTCCCTGCCAACACATCGGCTGGAAAGAGAGTCTCTGCTTCCTTCCAGCATCTGCCTGAGTGCCAAGTGGGTGAAAGCTCCAGTCGATTTTGCTCCCCTGGAGAGGCACCAGGCTGAGGAAAGGGGCTTTCCGCTTGTGTTGTGAAAGGGGAACGTGACGGGTTTCCCCCCTGATACTGGGGTCAGTCGAATTTCTAAGAAGAGAGTGGTCATCTCTGAAATGCATCCTTGTGGCATGCAGGGAGGTCAACCCATCCCCCTCGCAGGGCTGAGCCTCAGGGACCAGAAGAGATGGCACAGATGGGGAAGAGGGGAGGTTTTGAGATCCAGGCTCTCCGGGGGCACAGGCAGGCAGGCAATGGCCAAGCGACCCGCTGCGCTTTGGGAAGACAGGAGAACATCGTGTGTGTTGACCCATTTAAGCCTCATTCAGAGCAATTTGGGAGCCCTGAAGCTTCAGCCATGAGTACACCACAGCCAGCACAAAGCATCCCTGAGCTCTCACCCCTACAGAAACCTTGAAAATGCTGCTGTTAATTAAAGTGGAAACACTTCAGGGTTGGGATGGGGAGGATCCCCATGGGAAATACAACCCATCAAAATGTAAATGGGTCCACTTGAGCATCACAGGCTCTCCTCGGGCTGCACTAGCCACTCTGCCACCCTCCCAGAGACCTGCCAGGAGCGGAAAGCCCTGTTGCAGTTGCTCTCCCCACTGGGCTCACGGGCTCCAGGCACAATCCCCAGGATTGCCTTGCAGTGTTCTGCTTTCCACTTCAGGGCTACGGAGCTGGAAAGGGCAGTGTGCCCAGTGTGCCCGGAAGGCCAATGGCATCCTGGCTTGTGTCAGGAACAGTGTGGCCAGCAGGAGCAGGGATGTGATTCTGCTCCTGAGCTCAGCACTGGTGAGGCCTCACCTGGAGCCCTGTGTGCAGGGCTGGGCCCTCACTGCAAGACAGACACTGAGGGGCTGGAGCGGGTCCAGAGGAGAGCGACGAGGCTGGGAAAGGGACTGGAGGAAAGTCCTGTGAGGAGAGGCTGAGGGAGCTGGGGGTGTTCAGCTGGAGAAGAGGAGACTCAAGGGGGACCATGTCATTCCTTATAACTCCCTGAAGGGAAGGTGTAGTCAGGTGGGGTCGGGCTCTTCTCCCAGGCAACCAGTGACAGGACGAGAGGGCACGGCCTGAAACTGCGACACAGAAGATTTAGGTTGGATCTCAGGAAGCCCTTCCTCACGGAGAGGGTGCTCAGGCACTGGGATGCACTGCCCAGGGAAGTGGTGGAGTGAATTGCAAAATCACAGAATTATTGAGGCTGCAAAAGACTTCAGAGATCATGTTGAGTCATAGGCTGGACTTGATGATCTCAAAGGTCTTTTCCAGCCTCAATAATTCTGTGATTCTGTGATTTAAGCAAATTCCAGGCACAGCCATTCCCTGGGGCAGGATCTGGTCTGGCTGCATGTACCTTATTGGGAAATACTACGCAGTCATTGTGCAGCTGTTTCCAGTTCTCTTACATCTCCCAGTAAAAGGAAGCCTCCCACACAGCTCCCCTTCCAGTCTTAGTCCTGGTGTGGCATGGGGAACTGGAGCCACTACCAGCCCAGAGGCCTCAGGGCTCTGCTGGAATCCCATCAATCTGATTGTAAATGGAATTGAGGGGAAAAAAAGAGCAAGACATACCTTTGCCCAGAGGGATCAAGGATGGTTCTGAGGATCTGGCTAAGAGGGATGCAGAAGTTGCCAATTCCTGCTCTACTAGAGCTCATCTGTTCCTAACACTTTTTGCGTTCAGTGCCATTGATGTTGAGATCACTGTATACAATGGACAGCCAAGTCAAAACCCTTCATCTGGGTTCCACTTGAGCCTCCAGGTGAGCATTTGTCTCCCAGGGTTCCTGCAACACACATATCCCTCAGCATCATCTCTGGGCAATTTCCCAGCCAGGTGCTTCCTGCAAAAGTCTTCGGACATGCTGTGATGGGCAGTGGCCAGGTGGGAGGCTCCCAGGCCTGGTTCCCTGCCATCACGCTGCCTGTCCCACTCCCTGCAACCTTTCAAGGGTTTTCAGGTGGGGATGGCTGAGGAACAGCACAGAAACCTGTGCAAAAAGCAGATGTCAGCAATGTCCTTGTCACGTCCCATGTGGCTTGGCAGGAAGGATGCCTGGTGAGGCTACACCCCAGACTGACCTGTGGGTGTATCTAAAAGCACATGGGAAAGACCAAAATGCTTGGGGAATGCTCTCTTTCACTTCTCTGTTTGCTCTTAGACTGATACTGAGCAGAGGAGTCTGGGGGGTTTTTGGTCTGGTGCAGCTCTGGGACACAACTCCGTTGGCCCTGCTGTAGGACATCCTTAGAGAAGAGCAGGTGCTCTTCCACCACGCTTTGAGAGCTGCAGCCCAGGAGTAGGTCTGCAGTCCCCAGTGGGATGGTAGGGGAGCAGAGGGATCTGGGGGTCTGGGGAAGTGGAAAGAGGACTGGCAGCACAGGGATGCCCCAAAGCCAAGGGCCTCCAACCCGTAAAACAGAAGATAGGAGAATGAGGACACCTGATAGCCACACGTGTTGTAATCAAACTTAAGTTTTAAGGAGCTAATTGCTTAATGAATAGCTAATCACCATTTTAATTAAATTAGTTTATTGATTTATATTACGATAAGGAATATAAAACCCTACTTATGCTAAGAAGTTGTGTGTAGGCCTTGGCTAGAGCTGGAGCTGGTGCAAGTTGCAAAACTGGCAGGGAATGTTTTGTTAAGACCAGATCTATATCACTGCACCTGCACTTTAATAACAATACCAGCATATTTCATTTAGACAGATCAATACGCGCATTTCACTTGGGCATGCCTCCCTATCTCCCTGCCCCTCCTATTTTGTACCTTGTGATCAAATGTGGTCTCACCCCAATGGCCAACGATTGTATGTAAATAGGATATAGGAATATTAATGAGGAATAAACCAATCATTGTCAAGGTTAGAGTTAATAACAGGCATAGTATGTATGTTATGTTAAAATATGTTAAAGATTATGACTTTGCAAAAAAGGTGTATAAATAGATTGAATTCTTGTGATGTATTCAAAGCATTGGGTGATTTGCAGGCTTCCCAGCACTGCGATAAAGAAGTGCCTGCTTATCTACGTGTAGATAAGTTCTGTCGTTTTTGTGACCTTCCCTTTGAAAACTGCAACACACACAGGTGAAAAAAAAGGTTGAGAGGAGACTCTGGGTTAGGGAACTCTAGGACAGGATGGATGCCAAGGGATGGCCAGAACTGGGAAACACCTCAGGGCAGGAAGGGTGGGAGTCCCTATTGCCCGTCAGCCACTTCTCCACCTCCTCTCTGCTCTCAAGACTGTGGCAGAACCCGGGAGGCTTTGAAAACTGCAACACACACAGGTGAAAAAAAAGGTTGAGAGGAGACTCTGGGTTAGGGAACTCTAGGACAGGATGGATGCCAAGGGATGGCCAGAACTGGGAAACACCTCAGGGCAGGAAGGGTGGGAGTCCCTATTGCCCGTCAGCCACTTCTCCACCTCCTCTCTGCTCTCAAGACTGTGGCAGAACCCGGGAGGCCAGCGATGGTGAACACAACACCAAACACCACCTTGAAGCTTCATGGAAACCACAGCCCCTCTAGCACCCATGTGGCCCTGGGAACAGCCTGTGGCACCTGCGAGGCTGCTTCCTGGGAATGGCGAGGGTGAAGGGATGGAGCTGGTGTCTCCAGGTGAGGCTCCGTGGAGCTCAGCCCAGTGTCGTAACCCAGCACGTTCCACTGCCCGGAGCGCTGTCTGCACCAGCTAAAATCTTGAGCTAATCATTTGGCCTGGGTTCAAGACTTCCCATTTCTTGGCTGCACATTGTGGTTTCTGTCTCGTCTGGCTACTTTCTGCTGTCGTTGAGGTCTTTCTGCTCCAGGGTGGCCAGACTCTCCTAACATTTTGTTCCGCTTGACACCGTTACAACTTTCTTGCCTTCCCTGCAGAATGTCTGCGGGGCCTTGTACAGCCCCTGCACAGCTGCTGCCACACGGTGCACCCCTGCTGCCTCGTTTTCACCGGTGGGGTCAGGGACCATGTTTGATCTGCCCAGGGGTACAACCCTGTGAATCCCCTTCCGATGCTTCATTGTGGCTTTGCCTTAGAGCATCTTCTTTACATCGGTGGTCTCAGCTGGGGTCAGTGAATTCAGCTCCTCCCTCAGAAAGGGGTTTCAGACCCTGCTGCATGTTCCAGGTTCCCATCCATCCCCTCTCCCTTCAGCCTCTTTCCAGGAACCTCCTTGGAGGTGTTTCCCTGGTGCCATCTCGCCATGGCAGCACCATGGCCACCTGCCTCCTCGTCAAGAGGCTCCACTAACCCTCATACCTTATTTTCCTTAAAAGCAGCATTCTGCAGTAAAGCTGGACATGCTATGCAAATGCCTATGAGTATGCAGACACGGACACGTGTGTGGCAGCATCTGTGCATCCATGTCCATGCTCACGTGTGCCTTCCTGGGCAGGTATCTCTGCATGAGCACGGGACAAATTCTGGAGGTCATCCACAAGCCCTGCTTTCAGGGTAAATTTTAGGTTAGAGCACCTCCATGGGCACATCTTTTCAGCTTGTTTTAACCTAATGTCAGCCTAGCATCTGAAGGGAAAAAAGCGACCCATGAAGTGTTTACATGTGCAGACCAAGATACATTTCACGTGCTGGCTCACTCCTGCCATCTGCTTGTGCTTTACTGTTTGTGGTTTCAGACGAATTTGGCTGGGCCTCGTTTCTCTGAGGTTTTTGCAATCATTTCACAATTCACTGACACTGTGAACAGCACAACAAGGAGTCCTGTAGAAGGCAGGGCCAGCCTTGCAGTGCTGGATGCAGTGCATCCCCAGCAAATCCAGGGCTGCCTCCAGCCCTCCCATGGCTGCTCAGGCTAGCTCCCAGTGCGTGGGTGTCAGTTCCCAGGCTCACAGCAAAGCCCAAGCCAGAGCACAGCCTCATTAATTACTTGGTTTAATGCTTTTTTTTCCCCCAAAGCAGGCATGAGCACAGAGCCCCTGTTTTAAGTGAGCATTGTTTGCCCAGGGAGGTTCAGAGTCAGAGGGAAAATCTCTGCTGTGAGCAAAAAGACACCATGAAAAAAAATGTTCTGTTGTTCTGCGTTTGCTGGCATCTCAGGACCCCTCAGTGAGGATGGATGAGCCAACGGGATAGTTTCTCCTTGCTGAGCTCTGCAGCTGCGGGAGAGGAGACTTGCATGGTCCCCCTCCCCTCTGCCCCTTCATCCCACTGATGGGGCAACAAAGGGGGCTACAAAAGCCAGGACCTGGGGGATGACAGAGTGTGAGGCAGGTGAGCAATCCCCCCCACCCACCGAAGCCCATCACAACAGCCAGGACTAGTGAGTTCGGTTGTACAGGATATATTTTATTGCCTCACATCCCATCCAACAGCCGGTCTGGCAGAGGGCCACCTGCTCCCACGTGGAGAAGAGGGCAGCATAGAGACAGCTCAGCACTCGTCCCGCGCTCGGGTACGGTATCTCGGACTTCACAGTTTCTTTACACAGCCTTAAAATAGTAGATCTAAATGCCCGCCTAATAAACAAACAAGCCGGATAAATATACTTGATAGAAACACTCAGCTACAAGCTTTACTCCAGCCAACACACAGCCTTTGCTGATATTGTTAAGCCCTGCAAATCCTGTTGTTGCAATTATATGACTTAAAAGACCTTTACTGACCAAAGTCCACATCTGAAGCTTTTGCGAGCAGATAGAACTGCAGCTGCAGTACAGCCCTTCACCTTGTTCCTCCTCAGCACGCTCAAAAGGGTTTGCAAGCATGGGGAGAAGCGGCTTCCCTGCCAGTCCTGGAGGTCTTTCCCACCTCTACTTGCAGTCTCACCTTCTGGTGTCCTTGGGTTAGTGACTTCTTATTTTAGTAAAGTTTAGGGATAGAGCTGCTTTCAAGCGGCTGCAGCATGTCTGCAATGAATTTTGCCGAGTCTTCTACTTCCCCCACCTGCACAGCATCACGTGCAGCTTTTACGACGTGGGCTTTTCAGACTTAGGAAGAAAGTAAATGAGAGTTTCTTTCTGTTCAGAAGACTAAGCATTCGGCTTAATATCTGAATCTCGGAAAAGGGAGATAAAAGGGTAAAATTCCACTAAAATGAACAATTTGCTTGGATCTCATTGCAATTCTGCACTCAAAAAAATAAAAATCAAAGGGACAAATCCTGGCTATCTTTGTCTAAACTACACTGCAACAACACACTATAAAAGCCAAGGGGGAAGCCTAGAACAGCCCAGACATACAGACACACTGTCAACTCCTCTGTCCCTAAACTGACCATCTCAGCCACTATTAATTGCCCTGCAAGGAAGTTCCCATCAAGCAGCATGGGTAAGACCACAGCAACATCAGTCCTGACTGGCAACCCACAGCCCTGCAAGCCGAAAAGGAGCAAACAGGTGAGAGGAAAATGAAATGCAGTCACCATTTATTTGGTAGAAAAGTAAGAGCAATCTTCCAGAAAAGCCAGCCTGCAGCATAAAGGGTACTCTGTGAAGCACAAGGAGCCAGTAGAGCTTTCCAGGAAGAATGAATGGAAGCACAGTCTTTAAATATAAATACAAGTGTGTAAAATCCCCAAAAAGAGTCATAGGAAAAGCTGCCAGCCTGCCAGGCTACAGAAATCCCCTCCAGTGGGAAGGCTGTCCACTTTCCCCTCAGGTCTGTGGCTTAGCTTCCACGTGGGTGCAGGTCCTCGCTGGTGGAGTCATGGGGCGAGTGAGGACCTGGGTGCCCCCGTGCTGCTGGGAGCATCCAGATGGTGTAGGGGGTCCTGGCAGGGGGGGATCTCTGTGGCAGGCATGGCAGCCCCCTTGGCCAGCCCCATCCTCCCTCTGGGGCCAACGGGCAGGTGGGTAGTCTGTGGATGTCCATTGCCGGGCGGTGGGTCGGTCATCGGTGGGGCAGCTATCTGTGCTATGAAAGGCAAGGAGGGGGTGGTGAGGGGCAAAGGGTCTCCGCGAGAGCATGCACCCCAGTCTGAGGTCCATTGCCTCTCAGGACATGCCTCACCCATCCCCAAGCATTGCCTTGTCCTGGCAGCTCCACAGAGAAATCTTATTCAAGGTAAGCACAGACCACGGGGTAGTCGTGTCCTTAAGCATCTCTACGCTCCAGCCATGGCTCTGGCAGCCCTCCTAGGCTTGGTCCCAGGAGCCAGACACACACCCTCCCAGGGGGAAGGGTCTCGAACGGGGTGCAGCACTCCCACTCCACCACCCTGCC